ATAATGTTTTTCTCGCTTTTCAGGATCCACCACGTTTCTATACGTTCGACGCGGTGTTCGATGAGAATTCGGATCAGTTGAGTGTCTACAATATTGCAGCCAGGCCGATCGTGGATAATGTCTTACAAGGATACAACGGTGCCGTTTTTTGACTGATCTATTTTCTGATAGAATGAATCATTGGTCATCACCAATCGGCTTTCTTTTGCAGTCATCAGTGATATTTTACTTTTATGAGTAGTTTGTGATGATATCGATCAAGACATTAATTTCACTCCTGTTCAGTTCCAGTATATGAACTTATACCTTCAATTGATTTTATCATAAAAGAAGCACATCGGAGGTTTATTGGGGTTAAATGAAACTGAAGCATTAGAATTTGAAATATCAGTAATTCAGTGATGATGCCTTTTGAAATGAAGTGGCTCTTGTGAATGAGATTGTTTTTATCATTGCAGGCACGATTTTGGCATATGGTCAGACCGGAACGGGTAAGACTTATACGATGTCCGGGTTGGCCGATTCGGCCGAGCATGCCGGCATAATACCGAATTCATTTGCGCACATTTTCGATCACATCGCAAAATGTGAACAAGATAAGACATTCTTGGTGCGGGTTTCTTATTTGGAAATATACAACGAAGAGATACGCGATTTGCTAAGCAAAAATCCTGTTCGTGGTCTCGAAATTAAGGTGTGTTGATTTGCATTCAAATTTTTGTAGAAGAAAATTTGAGATTCAGTATTCAGTCATAAACGTTGAATCATTTTTAAATATGAACAAGTTTTTTCGCTCTGTTACATTACTCGGTTAAGTTATTCTGCATAAGTTCTGTCCAGTAATGTAAATTTGGTTACAGGAAAGACCCGATATAGGCGTTTACGTGAAAGATTTGTCGAGTGTGACTGTGTCAAGTGCGGATCATATGGCCAGGATTATGCAATTTGGTAGTAATAATAGGTAATCATTCAATTGCTTTTTTTTGTGATTTTACCGCAGTTTTTCGTCATTTACAGTGATTTCGTTTGTGGACTTTCTCAAAAATCGCTCTCTCACAGGTCGGAATTCGTTGAATTTCAGGTCAGTTGGAGCGACAAATATGAATGTCGAAAGTTCACGTTCACATGCGCTATTCACAGTGACCGTCGAGTGTAGTGAACGTATCGGGAATCAGAACCATCTTACTCAGGGAAAATTGCAACTCGTCGATCTCGCGGTATGTCAATCAGTTGGATTCTTTCTTGATATAATCAATAGCACCTCATGATTGTACTGAGGGCAACAGTAATTATACTAATAATGACAGTACTGATTTGATAATGATAGTAGTGATTCGGTTTGAAGGGTAGCGAGAGGCAGTCGAAGACTGGTGCAAGTGGACAAAGACTGAAAGAAGCGTCACGTATTAACTTGTCGCTCTCATCGCTCGGCAACGTAATCAGCGCTTTGGTTGATTCAAAAGCAACGCATGTTCCATACCGGAACTCGAAATTGACACGTTTATTGCAGGATTCATTAGGTGGTAACTCAAAAACTGTTATGG